CAAAAGACCACCCTAAAAACACAAACAAACAAACAAACAGAAACGCACCAAACACTCATAATCCCGGACCCAACGCCCCCCGTCCTTTCGCAGCCGAAGGAACTCACAACATACGGTAAATGAACGGATATGAACCGACGAGCAGCGGGGAACCGGTTCTGCTTTGAGAGACGCGCAATAAATGGCCGGAAGATGCATCCGGTTCGCTAAACACATGTGGCCCGGGGGAATGTTTTAGGGGAAGGGGAAGGGGGGGAGGAAGAGAAAGTTCTGTTAACCCCATTTGCGTTGGGGATGGAGGGGGATGTGTGGGGGTTTTGCGTTTGTGTGTGTGTGTGTGTGATTGTTTTTGTTTTCGTGGTGTGCGCGTGTAACTTTCTGTTTCCTTATTTTTTCTTTTTTTCTTTTTTTTCTTTCTTTCTCTCACTCTCTCTCTTTCTCTCTCTCTCTCTCTCTCTCTCTCTCTCTCTCTCTCTCTCTCTCTCTCTCTCTCTCTCTCTCTCTCTCTCTCTCTCTCTCTCTCTCCGTCTGTCTGTCTGCCTGTATCTGTGTATGTCTCTGTCTCTATTTCAGTTTCTGTCTCTTCTCTGTCTCGATCCTTGTCTCTCTCTCTCTCTCTAACTCCCTCTTTTTCTCTGACTCTCCTTTTATCTATCTCTATTTATCTATCTCCTAAGATCATCAGAAAGAGCAATCTCCTCCCTCATTCTTTCCTCCCTTCCCTCCTTCCCTAACCCTGAAGTATGTTAGTAACCCAACTCCCTTCCTCACTTTCCTGAAATCTGAAGTCTCCCAGCTCCCTCTCTCCTCCTCTTCCCTCCTCTCCCTTTCCCTCCCCTCTGCTCCTCTGCCCTTCTCTCGCCTGTCCTCTCCACTCTCCTGAAGCCAGTTAGTTTCCCAATTCTCTCTCCCCCTCCCCTCCCCTCCCCTTCTCCCCTCCCCTCCTCTGAAGCCTGTTAGTCTTCTAGCTCCTTCTCCCCTCCTCTTCCCTCCTCTCCCTTTCCCTCCCTTCCTCTCTCCTTCCCTCCTTTCCCTTCCCCCCTTTCCCCTGAAGCCTGTTAGTCTCCCAGCTCCCTACCCCCCTCCCTCTTCCCTCCCTCTCCCCTTCCCTCCCCTGAAGCCTGTTCGTCTCCCTGGCCCACTCACTCAAGCTTAAGATTTTTGCTTGGATGACAGGGGGAGAAAGCTTGCCTGAGCCGTTCCCTTGCTTGATTCCCCTCCCCCCCTTTGCATGTGAAGGCGGTGCGGGGGTGGGGGAGGGGGTGGGGGTGGGTGCGTGTGGAGGAGGAGAGGGAGGAAGGGGAAGGTGGAAAAGAACGGTGCGTATGTGTGTGGAAGGGGTAAAGGAAGTGGGTTCCCTGTGTGTGGAAGGGGTTAGGGAGGTGCGTGGGTTCCTTGTGTGTGGAAGGACTGAGGGAAATGGGTTCTGTGTGTGTGGAAGGGGTTAGGGAGGTGGGTTCCTTATGTGTGGAAGGGATTATTCGCAGGTGTTTATAAATCTGTAATAATCATCACATTATCATCGTTATAATTACCTTTATTATCGGTTCATTATCACCAGCGGGGGCGTAGGCATTGACAGTGTCATAATCATCATCATCAATGTCATCATAATATCATCCAAATTGCTATCATAATTTTGTTAAATTAATAGAAGGATTTTTTTTTTTTTAATAAACTGCTCAAATGCACTGATGAGAAAACAAGGAAAAGTTTCAGAGACAGAGAGAGAGGGGGAGGGAGAAAGCTAGAACTATACAGAGAGAAATTGCTGCTAATTCTTAATTCTGAATTTGCATGCTCCCCTTAAACTTATGAATTAGTATCTCCATATTTCATAAGCAATTGCAGTTATTATTTTCATCTAATTTCTTCTATATCTGAGGCTTGTCTTCAACATTTCTCCTTTTTTTTAATGGGTTTAGAATACTTTAGGATACGGAGCTATCCTTTATTCCCATTATTGTTTCATAAATCAAGTATGATAAAATAGTAGTATATTTCCATTAATGTAGTTATAATTAATTAAGTTATCACCCAGGATTAAAATATGAGAACCCTTTGAATTCATTTGCAAACTTTAACAAAATCCTTCACTACGGGAAAATGAATAGACCTCAAGATTTATCATGGTTCTGAGAAATATATGATACATATAATTAAAAGAAAACGTAATGAAGAAACTAATATGGGTATATTTAATCAGCATAAGCAGTTATATTTGCTGATCATTTGGAACGGAAGACAATAGGTCATGTTAGGAGGTGTATATATATATAACATTGATGATACATGAATTTGTTTTTTTTCTGTGTTTTGTTTGTTCGTTTGTTTATGTGTTCCTTTCGCTTGTTTGTTTGTGTGCTTGTATAAGTCTCCTTACCTTAGAAAAGGGAAAAGCGGAAAATTCCCCTTACCTTAAAAAAAGGAAAAGTCTCCATACCCTATGAAAAAAAGTCTCCCTACCCTAAAAAGGAAAAAAACGGAAACGTCCCCTTACCTTCGAATAGACTTGGGCAGAGGAGAGCTCATTTTCAACGACCATGACGATGATGCCAACCATACCCATGACGAGGGCGTAGTCGGAGATCCTCTTGCGCTTCTCGAAGAGGGCTTTGCGCCGCCCCAGCCGGTAGCCGACGTTGGGCTTGTTCCGGAGCCTGAAGGAGGCCGTTTTCCCCGAGCCTCCTCCAGTTTTCTCCTCCGTGTATCGTGGGTACTCCGAGCGCACGCCCACCAGTGCTATGGCCGGGTCCTCGCCCTCGCCTCCACGCCCGCCTCCCCCGCCCGTGCCGCCTTTCATCGAGCCAGGGATCGACAAGGTGGACACCGGCTTGCGTAGCTGGAAGGAGACGGAGGGAGGGTGAGATTTGGGTAATGATGATTAAGGTGATTAGGAGGAGGGTGATGATGGTAATCAAACGGGGGTAATGATAATTTGATTATAATGATGATGATGATGATGGTGATGGTGATGGTGATGGTGATGTCGATGGCGATGGCGATTGCGATGGCGATGGTGATGATGATCATGATGATAAATAATGATGGTAATAATAATAACAACAATAGTGGTAATGATAATAACAATAAAAATGATAATGATTATAATAAGAGTTATAATGATAATACCAACGACAACAATAAGAGAGATAGCAATCATAAATTGATTTGATAAAAAATAGAATGTAATCTAAAATATAGGGATGAGCGCATTTTGCTGTGGCGCTGTGACGGGAAAATTATTCAGATTCTCTCTCTCTCTCTCTCTCTCTCTCTCTCTCTCTCTCTCTCTCTCTCTCTCTCTCTCTCTCTCTGTCTCTCTCTCTCTCTCTCTCTCTCTCTCTGTCTCTCTCTCTCTCTGTCTCTCTCTCTCTCTCTCTCTCTCTCTCTCTCTCTCTCTCTCTCTCTCTCTCTCTCTCTCTCTCTCTCTCTCTCTCTCTCTCTCTCTCTCTCTCTCTCTCTCTCTCTCTCTCTCTCTCTCTCTCTCTCTCTCTCTCTCTTTCTCTCTTTCTCTCATACACACACACACACATTTACACACAAACTCACACACACAAAAGGAAACAAACACACGAAACTCTTTTCTCCCTCGCTTTTCCTCCCTTTTATTCTCCATCCTTCCTCCTCCTTTTCCCCCTTCCCTGTCTCCCGCATCCGTCATCGTGTTGGTCACACCTCACTAACTTCTGCCATCCCTCAGGGTCGCCCTGGTCTCTCCAGGACAAAGAAGCAAACAACTACTAAATCCAGGGACGGTTTCCTGCGGGTCACATCTCTCCTTAATAAGCTTCCTTTTACCTTCCCCTTCCCCTTCCCCTTCCCCTCCCCCCCTTTCCCTTTCCTCTTCCCTTATTCCCTTTAATACCCTCTCCTTCACAATTGTCTTTTTTTCTCCTTTTCTCTTCCGTGTATTCCCTTCTCTTTATTTCTCTTGTTTTTGTCTTCTGTCCCTTTCTTTTCCCCTTTTTTTAAGTTTCCTTATACCTTCCCCTCCCCCTCCCCCTATTCTCCTAAATACATTCTTCTTCCCCATCGTCTTTTCCTCCTTTTCTCTCCCGTGTTTTCCTTTCTCTTTATTTCGTTTCTTTCGTTTTTATCTTTTGCTCCTTTCTTCCCCCTTTCTTAACCTTCCTTTTAACTTCGCCTTCTCCTCTTCCTATTCCCTTTAATATCTCTTTTTTCCCCCATCGTCTTCTTCTCCTTTTTTCTCCCGTGCATTCCTTTCTCTTCGTTTCGTTTCTCTCGCTTTTGTCTTCTGTCTCTCTCTCTCTCTCTCTCTCTCTCTCTCTCTCTCTCTCTCTCTCTCTCTCTCTCTCTCTCTCTCTCTCTCTCTCTCTCTCTCTCTCTCTCTCTCTCTCTCTCTCTCTCTCTCTCTCTCTCTCTCTCTCTCTCTCTCTCTCTCTCTCTCTCTCTCTCTCTCTCTCTCTCTCTCTCTCTCTCTCTCTCTCTCTCTCTCTCTCTCTCTCTCTCTCTCTCTCTCTCTCTCTCTCTCTCTCTCTCTCTCTCTCTCTCTCTCTCTCTCTCTCTCTCTCTCTCTCTCTCTCTCTCTCTCTCTCTCTCTCTCTCTCTCTCTCTCTCTCTCTCTCTCTCTCTCTCTCTCTCTCTCTCTCTCTCTCTCTCTCTCTCTCTCTCTCTCTCTCTCTCTCTCTCTCTCTCTCTCTCTCTCTCTCTCTCTCTCTCTCTCTCTCTCTCTCTCTCTCTCTCTCTCTCTCTCTCTCTCTCTCTCTCTCTCTCTCTCTCTCTCTCTCTCTCTCTCTCTCTCTCTCTCTCTCTCTCTCTCTCTCTCTCTCTCTCTCTCTCTCTCTCTCTCTCTCTCTCTCTCTCTCTCTCTCTCTCTCTCTCTCTCTCTCTCTCTCTCTCTCTCTCTCTCTCTCTCTCTCTCTCTCTCTCTCTCTCTCTCTCTCTCTCTCTCTCTCTCTCTCTCTCTCTCTCTCTCTCTCTCTCTCTCTCTCTCTCTCTCTCTCTCTCTCTCTCTCTCTCTCTCTCTCTCTCTCTCTCTCTCTCTCTCTCTCTCTCTCTCTCTCTCTCTCTCTCTCTCTCTCTCTCTCTCTCTCTCTCTCTCTCTCTCTCTCTCTCTCTCTCTCTCTCTCTCTCTCTCTCTCTCTCTCTCTCTCTCTCTCTCTCTCTCTCTCTCTCTCTCTCTCTCTCTCTCTCTCTCTCTCTCTCTCTCTCTCTCTCTCTCTCTCTCTCTCTCTCTCTCTCTCTCTCTCTCTCTCTCTCTCTCTCTCTCTCTCTCTCTCTCTCTCTCTCTCTCTCTCTCTCTCTCTCTCTCTCTCTCTCTCTCTCTCTCTCTCTCTCTCTCTCTCTCTCTCTCTCTCTCTCTCTCTCTCTCTCTCTCTCTCTCTCTCTCTCTCTCTCTCTCTCTCTCTCTCTCTCTCTCTCTCTCTCTCTCTCTCTCTCTCTCTCTCTCTCTCTCTCTCTCTCTCTCTCTCTCTCTCTCTCTCTCTCTCTCTCTCTCTCTCTCTCTCTCTCTCTCTCTCTCTCTCTCTCTCTCTCTCTCTCTCTCTCTCTCTCTCTCTCTCTCTCTCTCTCTCTCTCTCTCTCTCTCTCTCTCTCTCTCTCTCTCTCTCTCTCTCTCTCTCTCTCTCTCTCTCTCTCTCTCTCTCTCTCTCTCTCTCTCTCTCTCTCTCTCTCTCTCTCTCTCTCTCTCTCTCTCTCTCTCTCTCTCTCTCTCTCTCTCTCTCTCTCTCTCTCTCTCTCTCTCTCTCTCTCTCTCTCTCTCTCTCTCTCTCTCTCTCTCTCTCTCTCTCTCTCTCTCTCTCTCTCTCTCTCTCTCTCTCTCTCTCTCTCTCTCTCTCTCTCTCTCTCTCTCTCTCTCTCTCTCTCTCTCTCTCTCTCTCTCTCTCTCTCTCTCTCTCTCTCTCTCTCTCTCTCTCTCTAATGGATGTATTGAATACCCCGAGATGGTCGAACGAGATGGAATTTTGTCGAAAGTGTTACCTTATCAAACCTATCATCGTATTGATTTAGCTTTATCTGGATTATCATTACTACATGCATTATCGGCATTGATTACACTGTCATAACCACATGTAATTCATCCTCAGTGGCATTATTTACGCGTAATAATAAGTGTAATTTGTGAGTTTGTTCACCTGCAGTTCCGTCTGGCAATCGTCCTTCACAACCCTTTGGAGGAATTTGAGCAAGGTGGCAGGTTAAGCTTCGCCTAAGCCCCCCGACGTAGATTTCTCTGCTACAGCCCCTAATTTGTCCTCACTTTCTGTCCTCAATCCTGAATTGTGCTCGCCTGCTGTCCTCCGTCGACAGAATTTGTCTTCACCAGATGTTATCAGTCTTATGTTATTTCTTTAGAAATTGTCTTCACCAGTTGTTATCAATCCTAAATTTTGTTCAGTAGCTGTCCCCTATCCTCATTTGTCCTCACCAGTTTTCCTCAATTCTAAATTGACTTAATCCGCTCTCCACAACTCTATTGGGTCCTCATTCGCTGTCTTCAAGTTTAAATTGTCTTCATCAACTGTCCTGAACCATAGATTGTCCTCAATAGCCGCCCACAACCATTAATTTCCTGCCATCCGAGCTCAACCTGAAAGTTTCCTTTGTTGCCGACCGTTAACCCTCCAAAATCCTACCCATCTGTCCTTAACCCACAATATTCCTTCCTAGTTACCTATAACCCTAGATATTCCCTGCCCAACTGCCTCTACCTTATCCCCAATAATCCAACTCCCCAATCCCCCCCACTCCTTCTCCAACAAGCCATCCCTCTCCCCACACTCCATCTTCTCCATCTTTACCTCCATCTAGTCCCCACCACCGACAATCTATCCTTCACTCTACTACTCCCCACCATACCCCATCCCCCTACCCCCCCCTCCACCCAAACATCCCTCCGCGCACCAATCCACCTCCCCCTTTCCCCCCTCTCCAACCTCCCCCCTCCCCAAGACCCCAACAATCCACCCCTGGACCCCACCACACTCCCCTACCTAACCTTCTCCCCCCAAGACGTCTTGAGTAGCGGAACGTCGTAGCTTCAGTCACCTAATCTGGGGTTTAGGTGCTGGTCCTCCGGCGTTAAGGTGACTCGGCCACTTATCTTCAAAACAGAGGAGTGGAGGGACGAAGGACGGGGAACATGTGTGTTGGGGAAGGAGGGGGAAGGTGTGCGTGGTGGGGAGAAGGCGAGGGACAGGGTTTGTGTGTGTGTGTGTGTAAAATGGGGGGAAAGGTGGGGGAGGTATAAAGTGGTGAAGGAGAAAGTGTAGAGGCTGTAAGGGGGGGAGAAGGAGGAGGAGAGAGGAGAGAGGAGGAGGAGGAAGGAGGAGGAGGAGGAGGAGGAGGAGGAGGAGGAGGAGGAGGAGGAGGAAGAAGAAGAAGAAGAGGAGGAGGAGGAGGGAGGGAGCGGATTTATGTAGATAGGAAAAGAAGGGTGAGTGTCTGGTGAGACAATGTGTTTTAGGGAAGAAGAAAGGAAGATTTGTATAGAGGGAGAGGAGGAAGAAGGAAAGAGGATGTGTATGGAGGAAAAGGAGGAAGACGGAAGGAGAGATTGTTAAGACATAGGAAGGAGAAGAGACGATGGGGGGAGGGAGGGAGGACATGAGAGGATCGGTAAGAGAGGGGGAGGAGAATGAGGAAGTGAGGGAGATGATAAGACGGAGGCGTTGCTGCGGGTAATGCTGGTATGAGAGAGACAAGGAAGAGGAGTAAATGGATAATCACAAGAAATAAAGAGAACATAGAACACAATAAAGCAAATACATCAATGATAACCTTGAAGGAAAAAGGTAGTTAGAATCAGCCTAATGTTGAAAACAACAGCGAATAATCCATAAGACAGAACAAGAGGAACAAAGAGAAAAAAAAACAACA